CTTCTCTGGTACATCATCAGCTTTTATTTTTCCCTTTCTCAGAGTGAGAGCCCATCTCCTGCCATAGCCTCAGAAAGTTGACTTCTTTTATTATGTAAATGCATCCTTGCTTTTATTTGAACATAAAGCTAATTTCTCTGACTTAGCATTTTTAAATGTCATTTTACTTTCTGCTGTTTATCGACTTGATACTATCCTCTCTTTTGCCAAACACAAGCTACGTTGCTTTGTACTAGAGAAACATTTTGAAACTTAGATACATTTCCATTTCTCAGTAAAAGCTTTCTCGCAGTCTAAGTTGTCTCCAGCGTATGTCATAGCCTGTCCTTTCCCAAAAAAGGGGAAAACCTGAAACTTGAAACTTAATTTCTAGGAAACATCAATAATTGTTGTAGAGTGAGTAATTCTTATTTGTGGGCTGTGCATTGAGTTGGGTTTGCAGAAAAGCTTACTGCTTCATGCTTTGGGAAGAGTCAAGTCCATAAAGTGGATTTCAGAATTCCAGAGTGTATGGTTTGCATTTGTACTCTGGTGCTCTGCTTTTAGCTGCACAAGCTGGGGAACGAGTTGTGGCACGGAGTATCTCAGATGCTGGGAATATCTGACATCCAGCCCTGAAGCTGGTGTGCATTCTGTGAGTCCTTCTGGTCATTTCACTGCAGAGATATTCAAACATCAATGGGTGAGGGGAAGAGAAACAAAAAAAACCCCCAAACTGTGTTGTTTCTCACCTGTTCAGGTGAAGAAATTCACAGGTAAGGTATTCACATTGGTGGTCATACAGTTGCAAGAACAGTCATTGCAGAAGGCATGCTTCTGCTTGGTGAGCAGCCCCAGTTGCCCTGAGCATACCATCCAGCTCACCGATGACTGGGACTGTTGTTTTGCTATGAAATCTTAGGTGTGGTTGATTTGGATATAAAGAAGAAATTTTTTTGTGATAAGGGTGGTGAGACACTGCAACTGTCACCCAGAGAAGTTGTGGATGCTCCATCATTGGAAGTGTTCAAGGCCAGGTTGGATGAGGCTTTGAGCAACCTGATCTAGTGTAAGATGTCCCTGCGCATCCATGGCAGGAGGGTTGGACTAGATGACCTGTTTACTATCTGAAACAAGCAGTTACTGCAAAATGTATAATTATTTATGATAATTACAATATTTATAACAAGAGGAACAACATTTTCATTATCTTTACTTATTGCTTCCAGGGCTCTACAGAATGGTCATTTTGAGGCTTGTGAGGTGTCATGGAAAATAGAAATCTTAGCAATTTGGGTGGGAAGGAAAGAAATTTTATTGACTTTAAATCATCAAAAACTGATGGCAATGGAATATTTACATTTTTTCTTAAGATAGCCTTGTTTTATACCTTCTGAAAGTTGATAGTAGAAAGAAAAAATATTTCAGTAACTCAATGTAGTTTCAGACCAAAGAGCATATATTAGAATGGTTAACTTAAATGAAGATTAAGATTCCTAAGGGTAACGTGAGACTTCATGACCTTATTCTCAATGTGTTAATGATCTATCAGTCTGCTGTGAATTTCATTACTGTTTTGGATTTCTTATGCTTCATAATCTGATTTGGGACAGCCTACAAATCGTTTCATGCAATGGAAGCTGACATCGAGGCAGAAAGGTAGAAATCGGCCTTCTGCTCTTCCTAGCTGTATAGGTAAAAGTCTGTGCTCAGAAGAGTTCATACTCTGAAACTTTCTGCGAGTGGGCTAACTAGTCAGAGGTTACTCATGATACACTTTGCAATTTTTCTGGTAGGCTTTCCCCACCTGTTCAAATTTAGTAGAAAGATGATCTGATCCACACAAAATTCTCCCATTAGGCTGATGCAAAGGGAATGGTCCTGCCCTGCACGCTGCAACCTTTCGGGTTTGATGGGAGTTCTTCCCTAGCAATTTGGAGTTTGTCTCAACCTACAAGTATGTGTATAATTAGCCTACTGGTTTGCCTTTTAGAAATTTTCATTTCTTAGTTTCCTTCCTTTTCTCTGGAGAGAAGATCGTGGGTTTTGAATGGGCCTTGCTTCAAATCTTTCACTCGTAACTTATGTTTATCCTTTCTTTACTCCATTACCAGTGTTATCTGCTTTGAAAACTGAAATCACAGTTAACTTATTTACTTAGCATTCCTGTTTTAGCCTGTAGGATTTGCTTACCCTCTTATAAAAATGTTGGAGATTCCCTTTTCCTTTTATCTTGAAGTCTCAGAAAGAGTAAAGTTCTTCCTTTCCCAAGAAAGAGCTAAATGCTCCAGGTTGCAATACCCAGATGCATATTCTCTTTAAAAAGATTTTCAAACAAAGGAATCATCTGCTTAACTGAAAGAAAAAACTCTTAATTATTTTCAACACTATATTTTAATCTAAAATTTGTACTGCTCAGAAGAGTTCTGTACTTTGGTGGTATCTCAGATGGCTTTGTAGCTAATACATGACGTATCGTAAGCAGTATATATTCTTAAATGGCTTGGATTCTCATTTTATCTTTAAATATTGAACTACAGAAATCTGTTCTTAAATACTCTTTGGTATTTTGTGTTCTGATTTTTAATTCATTAGGCAGTGTCCTTGTATTTTTAGTGAATTTCTCAGAAACAATTATTCATGTTGTGGTTTAGTAATTGCAGTAACTAGTGCTCCCATAATTATAAGGCTTTTGTTTTGCTGGGAAATGCTTCCCATATCTTCTTCTCTTGTGTTAGCACATGAAGTATAATAAAACTGTATGAGGGTTAAATTTAGAACTGTGTTAACATGTTAATTTAATTTTTTTTCTCAAAAAAAATTTTTTTTTGAAACTTATGACAACTGACTGAATAAAAATGATTTCAAACCAATATTTTTTCTTGTAGAAAAAACGACTTGATTTATACGGTACGCTTTGAAGCGGCTGTAGACAGACAGAAAACATCTGGTGACACTTTCAGTGGTAGGTCAATAGTTACAGATGGTCTGTTTTTTTACAGCTGTCATCCAGCTTTGTATGTAGAATGACTACAGTGGAAAAATCTTTTGCTGAATGAATAAACAAAACAGCACAAGGAGGCCAGCAGGCATATATGTTTCTACAAGACAGGAAATTAAATAAGCTATAAAAATTTAAACCAAGACTAGTATTTAAAATGTTCATTATATTCTGGTTTCTGTTTCTTATCCTCTAAATTTTTCTATGTGACCATTGAAGGAAGTAGATTATAAAACAGAAGTGATAAGTAAATAAATTAAAGACTAGTTTAGGACTGATCCTCTACACAAGTTCGGGGTTTGGGCTTAAGGAGAGGCAGGTGGCTATATAGCTAACTTTAAGGTTTTAAAATGCATGTTAGATTTGATGTAATGCTTGTGCAGTCCTATACCAGAGCCACATTCAATACTGAAGAATGTTGTATTTTGTAAGAATAATCAATGTTGAGAAATTAAATAGAAAATTTCTAAAATGGCAAGATTATTTTTGGTTTTTAAAGAGAAAAAAAACTGGGCTTCTACGTTCTTCATCAATCTTTCTTCTCCCATTCATGATGGGACGTTATATTCAGCTGGAATCAGACGTTATGCAAAACAGCAGAAGAATCTGGAAGTTGAGGACAAAGAAAAAAGGTGTGGAGGGAAAGTGAAGAGGAGGAGGCTGAATGAAGTGTTAAAAGCATGATGAATATTGCACATTAACTCCTTTTTTTAAATGAAAATGCACACAAAGAAAGGAACTTGGTTACAAGGCCAAATGCACCAAGCAGGGTAGTGCTGGCAAGGATACCTATTTTGATGCAAATGTGCAGTTCTTGATATTCAAAATATTTTTCTTTATCATTTCACTTGGCGTGCATGAATCTTCATAACATGTTGATGAAATGTGCCTGTGTTTGGTTTTAGAAGAGTTTTGCCTCTAGAAAGAAACAAGCCGATTCCTAGGTTCAGTCACTTGTAAGGCCATTTAACGCTCTCCACTGATGTTGAAAGCTGTTGGGCAGGAATAAAAAGAAAGAGGGAACTGGATTATTTGGCTCATGTTAATGTGCACTGTGCTTGTAATACAGCGTTCCCCGAGTTTGGTTCTCGGAGTGTATTGAGATATTTAAAGGAGAATAAAAGTGATGCTCTGATTTTTGCTTTTTAGAGGATCTGTCTACTTGGTTTTACCCTGTCCACTTGCTTGTGTGCATTTTATAATTTACCTCTTCGATTAGATTCTTGTTAAGGGATTTTTCATCTCTCTCTCCCCATCCCCCCTTCGTGCTTCTCAGTGGTTTGGCTCAAAATGCAGGCTGCTTGTTGCAGTACCCTTATGCTGTCTTGCCCAGCTGCACGGTATCCAAAAAGTGCTTAGTCGTATTTGCTGCCAAAGAGCTTGCCTAGTCATGCATAAACCTGCTTTAAATGCCATTTGGTTGATATAGGTGTTGGCGTTCTGTATTGTCACCGTGATGCATTTCCTCAGGTCTAAGGCCCCTTGAATTGTTTCCTTCAACTTCCAAGTATCAAACTCTGGTTTACTTTATCATCAAAAGCTTGAAAGTTAAGAATGAAAAGAGTATTTTCTCGATGGCTGCAAGCATTAGGATGCAAAAGTGTATGTATGGCTTTACTGTTTCATTCCAGGTGACCACATTTCTGGCGTTTTACGGGAAGCATGTACCTGTGCCTGCCCAAGATGTCTCCCTTAGCCGGCTGTGTGTTCAGTGGAAGGGGGAAAAAGTATTTGAGAGTCAAAAGGCAGAAAACAGCAGCTGTCTTGGAGCATTTCTTACACTGGCTTGTTTGAGCTGTGCTGCGTGCTTGTGTCTTTACGTGTTTAGAAGACAGTTTGTTGTGAAATACCAGGTTACCTAATGTGATTTAAGAACTTTGTGTTTTTTCTTAATTGTTTAAATTACATATAGATCATCTTTCTGGAAAGAGGAGGGGAAAAAAAAAAAGTCTGTATTTTGAAGTTGAAGCAGTTTCTCTTTCTGTTCACAGGTGAAATTAAGTTTCTAAAAGACAGTAAGCATTTCTGACTTGTGGCTGGCTTGGGAAGACCATCACCAAGCTGTGTGGAGACGTTCTTTGAGCTTCCACTCTTATGTCTCTAATGGACAAACACAAAGTGAAGCGGCAACGTTTGGATCGCATATTTGAAGGTTAGACATTTCAATTTCTGATGTTAACTGTGTCAATTTCATGGATTACTGATATTTCTGGAGACTGAAACTCTTTTCTTTTGGACGGTCAGTGTATTTTTAATTGAGTTGCCGTTCCTGTCAGGATTATATTAACTGTGCACATATGCTGGTTTGGGGTGAAAACAAATCTAGACAAATAAAAGCAACTAGTGTGTGAACTCTGTACTATTCTACAGTTTGCTTTCAACTTAGTATTTTACAACATCCTACCCAAATGTTGTGAAAGATTGTGGTTTTATATAAAATAACAATCACAAAAGGATAAGATGATTACATAGTGTTCTCCAGGGTCTTTCTCTACAGGCATGCTTTGCATGGATTGAATTAACAGCCTGTATCTGATCCTAGGAAGGAAGTAGAAAATAAAATGAAAATAAACCAAAACAAAAATCCCAGAAGACCCCCAAACTTTAATGACTATTAATAAAAATACCCTGAACTCTAGTGAAAGGAGTGTAATCGTTTGGGTCAATCATTTTACCTTAAGTCACGAATGACTGAGTTGTATATTCTTAGTATTCTTTACTCGTTTGCTTTTAGAGTTGATGTGAAAAGAGGTCGAGGGATAAGGTGTACTATTTTAAGAGTGTATATATGAATGATTGGGGCTAAATGAATTTTTATATTAAAATGTTAGCTTCTCCTTAAAAGGCAAGGCAGTAGTTAATTTCTTTACTAACCCATTTTGATGCAGTGGGAGAAAGTGTACAGACTCCTGGCCACGTGGTCTCTCCATCATGTCTAATGCTGAAGCAGTGAACTGCAGTTGAAACATTTGCTCCTCCACGCATTGGTCTTGGGGACTTTTTTCTAGCAGCTGTGTTGGTGTAAGCAGTCCCTGGCAGCTGATTTCTGTCCTTGTTTTTTTCCCTTGCTTTGTGCCAATATGAGTGTAACTGCATAATGAGCTAGATTGAGAGATGACTCATACTAAAAATAAACTTTGTTGGTATATTTTCCATTTAGGTAAATTCCTCAGTCCAGGTCACTGTTCAGCTGACAAAGCAGTTGCATTGAAGGGAGCAGTAAGAAAGGATCAATGAGGGGTGCCGGTACCGTTTACCCTGACATAGCCAGAGAAAGAGACGTTTTATCGAAGCATCAAAGGGTGCAGTTCCACATTTGCTTTAGATGATTAACCTCCCTGTTAGTCTCTTCTAAAACCGACCAAGCCCGCCCCTGATTGCCAGGTCCAAACTGTTCTCATGTCCCACCTAGACGGGTTGGCCAGGCGGTCAGTTGAATCTGCTCACTGGAGACTAATCCCTGCTCAAAGGAATGGGGAACTGGCTGCGGAGGATGGGGAATTCGGGAAGGCTGCCCCTCTTTCCGGGCAGCTCTGCAGTCGGATCAGCTAGAAAGTACCCAGGGGTGTGCTGGTGCAGTGCATGGTCCTCTTTTCTCTGTTCCCAGCTTCAGGGTTTTAGGTCTCAGGTCCTCAATCCTAGAGTCTCTGTATGACCCCTCAATAAAAAATGCAGAATATTAACTTGACAGAGCGCTCAATTTTTTTATTCTGGGTTTTTTTTTGTGTTGGTTTTGTTTGGTTTTTTTTTTGGCCTGTGTTAGTGAACTGAATTAGCAAATTGTGAGGAGGATGGAGAAACCTGTCTGTTTTGATGGCAGCTGGCAGTTAGATCAGCTCAACCCACATAGTGGAATTTCAGTCTCCTTTTATTGATCAACAGGACAACTTAAGAGGAAAATAGAGTCTGTGATGATGTGGGAAGGAATGTTATCAGGGACAGAGGTGAGAGACCAGTGGCCACTGTGACTGTTTAAAATAGTGGCTTCCCCCAGGCTGCGTGTTCACATCTAGTGATGCTGTTTAATCAGTGCCTTTTGTCTGCCTTGTTTTTCCCAGCCCTGCACAATTCACTGCATCCTACTGGTAAAATCTGTGCGGCCATGCAGTGTAGGGAATTGATCCAGTTGAAAAATAATGTAGGAAAAAGTTTTTTTTTTAGCCACCTCTCCTTCCTAATCCCATTTACCATGTGCTAGACAAATAGATGTGTTGGAAAAATAGAGTGGGAAGACCAGGCAGAAGATGATCAAGAGGAAAGGGGATGAAACAATGGATATGGAAAAATGCTTGAAGTTTTATGGTTCCAGGAATCCAATTTGGCTCTTTAAAATGTCCGAGCTGTATTCTGCTCTTGAGTGTCTGTGTGTTCAAATGTCCAAATGTTCTTTGAGGTTTGTAAACACATCTCTGGCTGATGTTCTTAAATCACTATCCCTGCAGCTGCGTAAAGTGGGATAAAAACTAGGGGGTTGGTTTGTTTTTAAAAAGGCTTTTCCCTACATATGGTCCTGTTCAGGTTTAAAAATTAAATGTGCGGAGTTGTTCTCTGGTATATGTGTCTTCCATAACTCAACCTAAATATTTTATATTTTAGAAATATGCATAACATTTTACAAAGCTCAGGAAATTTAATGAGCTGTATAGCTATTAAAGGTGGTTTATCTTCTCTGTCAGCTTTGTTCATCAGTTTGTGTATAGCTTTCTTCTCTTAAGCTTTTCCCCCAGAAGAGAATGATTGTTAAGATGCATTTTCTTTTTATTGCAAGTTCCACTTAAAAACAGGCTGCAATGATTTACTAACCAGTACTATTACTAACTATATATTTTTTCATAAATTGTTTAAAATAAAAACTTGTGATGGGCAGACATTAATACATTATTATATCTATAAAGAGAGGCCAGTGTCACTCTGGTGGTGACATACAGCATTTCATTACTGTTTGTATCCCTGTTTGAGGAGGGGCTGATAATGAGTTGAAATTCAGTTTCTGAAAAATGAGTGGTGTGGTCCTGATTCTCAAAACAAAATGCTCACGTTAGGAACACGTGCACAGGGCTGCACACAGCTTCTTTGCTGGAGTTAATGGATTGCCACAAACGCTCTTGTAAGTTAGATAACTCTGCGTGCAAAATGTTATTTGAGTCGAACTGCTTTCCTGTGGCTTTAGGTAATTTGCACACTTGCTCATAGTAACTGATCATGCAAATTAAGCAACAAATTGAACAGGCATCACTGGATTTACTATTACCTTGTGAGTTAATGATAGTATGGTAGTAGTACTACTAAATTTCAGTTGATACTCAATGCAGAAAAAAACCCCTGATTCTATTACTTTGGGAGCAATTAGTTCTCTTTTAATGTAGCTGAATAAGTAATTTTGTCTGAGGTACCTATGATTCCCTTCAGTGATTTCTTAAATATGAAACTGAATATTTGCTTTTAGTCCTGAAGCTGTTTGCAGTTATATTTTCTTGCACATTTCAATGGTCTGCCATGTTCATGTATCATCTCAAAAGGGTGGTACAAAATGTGCTTTGTCATCCCAGTTTATATAGTTCTATAAAGTAGAGGTTACTTAGATGATGGAAATTGAAGACTGTCCCTTCAAAAAGCCATATATTAAATTCTGGTTTCTAACTTCCACCAGTAGCTGTGAATTATACTTAGGCGTAAAGACATGATTCTAGGCACTCCGAGATGCTAATATTAAACTCACTTCACAATTTATGAAATAACATTTAGGATTCTTCCCTTGAAGATAAATAGTATCAAGGCATGTGAAAGATTAATTAGTTACTGATTATATTGTTCTTTGTCCCCCTCTTCGGTGGTGCTGGTGATTGCAAAGCATAATTATAGTAGTATACATTTGGCAGAACAGTTGGAAGTGTCACAGTGCAAAAATAAAATGTGTTCATTTTGTGGGTAATTTGAAAAATTCTAAATGTTTTTGGCATTTTGAAAAGTTGTTATCTCTAATTAAGGTATTATTGTACTTTATATTGTAACAAAACTGTAAACAATGCTGTGTTTTTGCTTATATTCTAGAAATCTTTAATTAAATGTGTGTATGTTTTACTGACCGTTGCTTGGAAGTTACCTTGGGGATGTCTGACCTCTGTTGAATTTGCTGGGAGCTAATAGATGAAGTAGGAAGGCAACAGAAGGTGGCTGCAGCGCAAAGAAAAGTCTACGTCAAGCCCATTCACAGACAATTGAGACGATGAACATAGTGAATTTTCTCTAAATACATTACATTGTATAATATATAGTCCTCCATCAGCCACTGCTTTTGGTGGCCTTCCAAGCCTTAGGAAACTCTTTAAAAGGGAGAGCTTAGGGACATCACTGGAACTGGGAGGAGGAGATGGGTGTCTCCTCTTACATTTCTTCTTGCTTGTTTACACAGGTATTAGGGATTAAACAACTACAGCACAATACTGGAAATGTAACTGCAAAATTGAGAGTGACTTTTCCAGTTTGATGATTGCTCGAAACTAGAAATTTCTTTCCAGAGCACCTCGTATATGATATTTATAGCAAAGACTGTAGCGTGTGCAAGTACAACCAGCCTTTGAAGACCCTATATGCTCCCAGACAGATGTTGCATGTTTTTCTAGTTCTGGTTTTGAGGAAGAAAAAAGCAGCTTTGCACACCTCAGGGCTTCTCGGCAATCGTTACAAATCTTTTTCCTTTTTGTGCAGCGCTGGTATGTATCTTAAGGTTATTCTTTGTACACAGGTTGCCTCTTCCTTCTTAAAAATGCTCAGAAGAAAACTTGAAATGTATTTTAGCTATTTTAACAGTGCTGCTTTATTACTTAAGAAAAGAGCATGAGTTGGTCAGGATCACAAATTGGAAAAGAAAGTGCATATTAATGGAATGAGTTTCTGAGATTTCAGATAAAATCTCTCATTTTTTGCTCTTATGAAGGGCAGCCTTTCTTTGGGAAGGTCCGATTACTGGCAGATAACCAAGCGTTACGCTCTTTGAAGGACAGTAAAAGTGCACGCTAAAAAAATAGTTTCTTTTCAAGGATGTGGCCTAGGCTTTCTTTCCTGATAAGAAAACATCTGTGTTTTTAAAGCTTTTTTTCTGCTTGTGGTGCTCTATAGCATGAGATTTAATAAGATGAATCTTCAATTCAT